TTTCTATGTCTGAAAAAAATATTCTCGCAATAGTGAACAAGCATTAAATCTTCTGGAGATCGGAGATTTTCATTAAGCATTTTTCCTGTCGCACTTTTTCACCACAGAAAGCTCCAGTTAACTTTAGTGACTCTTTAAAAATCTTAGTTTTTAAATGAATCACATTGCTTAGAATGCTTCATCAACTGGACAAAGATGCTGCGATGAATTATTCGAACTAATGTCCACCGCAAAGGTGAGGTAAACTTAAGACTTATGTCATTCAGTTGCCGCTAATCCAACATTGATGAGCCACCTTTGTTTGCAAGTTTACTTGTTTGTCACATTTAAAGGATGGAAAAGTCATTATTCCTCTTACCAAGCTTTTCTCAAACGCCCGTTAATGGTTATGTTAGCATTAACTGTCAGGGAGTATAAGCCAGCCTGCGTGGGGGCCGCTTAATTATTATTTCATGAAAGTTCATTTATTGTAATCAGCAGTGATGAAGGCATATTTCACACATCTTTTGTTTGGGTTGGCAATAAAAAGGCAGCTTCGATTCAAAAACAGAACTGTACCACGATAATCAATAAAGATTCGAAGCCGATTGTCAAAGTGACCGTAGCACCTACAGAGAAGAAGTCATGCAGAAAACCTTGGCACTTTTCCTTGTTGTTTCACTGGTTATTTCTGTGGCTAACCTTCCTACATCCCATGGAATTTCTGCCGGAGGCTCGACTTGGAAAAGGGCTTTAGAGGTTTGGAAAACCTTATCCTTGTTTTATTTATTTGAATTGAATACTAGATCATTACCGAGTTATCATTTTTAAGGAAGGTTTTCTGAGCTGAATTCTGAAAATCTGTTTTTTATTTTGGCTAGGGAGGAGGAAATAAATTATAGAGATCTTAAATTATTCAATTTTCAAAGATTTTAAATCCAACAAGGCAACATTAGAAAACATTGAAACAAGAGGTGATGTTTCTTTTACAAAAACAGCTACCTCAATTTAATATTCTCAGCCTCATCCAATTTTCCAAGCACAGAGGCATAAATTTTGTCGTAGTCAAAACACAGCTAGAAACCAACAGAGTTCTTAAATGTAGTGTTGTTTTTCAATAGAAGTTTCCTAAAAATTTACACCCATGTAAGTCGTTTTAATTAAAAAAAACCGAAAAAGCTACTTTCACACCTCGGTGGAAAAGACTGAGAGCAGATAGTGTTGCGAGGCAGTGACGAGCGGCATAAACGTTGAAATACAAAAGGATTTCTTCAAAACGTATTTATTAGAGTGTAGCAAGACTTTCGTCATCATAAAATTGATACCGACCCTGAAAAATGTTACAAAAATGTTTTGATTTCGTAAAGAAAGTCATTCATTTCGTCCAAATCATTATTAAAGACTATTATGCTTTTAAATCAAAATTTGAGTAAACCAAATTATTACTTGGTTGGTTTTTTAATTTTTTATGAAAAAAATCAACTGAACCGATAAAAAAAATCATTTTTAAATATATGTCAAAATATTGGAAAATGAATCGAATTTCAATTTTTGGAGGATTACCTCATATTCTGAGCATTTTACCATGAATATATGTTGGGCTTAAAATGGGAAAAAAACCCTTCACACTGAGGAAAAAGACTCCAGCCTGACGGTACTTTAAAACCGAAAGTAATGAATTACATTGTACTACATTTTCAAACGGAAAATCTTATGAGGTGACTCTTTTCTTTCGGCCGTCATGACAAAATATTGCTTTGATTACATCGCTGACGCAATTAACAACGTATCAATTTATTCCTGTTTTTATCATAAAGGGACACTGGCCAACTATTTTCTGCCACGTGTGCCCAGAAAACTTATTGTTAAACACTCATTTGACCTTAAACGATCTGACCCTTTCACTCCAACAACGGATCAACTATTACGGCATTCAAGCATCACCCGGTAAAAAGGGAACAGGAATAACACTGCCTATCTGTTAAGGGTTGTAATCCTGGTTAAACTCCAATTACTCTATAATGAAATGTATAGTAGATATAGAGAGGAGAGGTCTCTATTACTGAGATGTTGGTGGGTTAAAGATTAAGCTTACAGTTACAGGCAACTCACGTAGGGTCTGTTTCTCGAAGGCCAAGTAGCATTACTGACTAGGACAGTGCATACCGACTTTTTTTTGTTCCTGTATAAGAATCACCCGTACCTTGACAGGATAACCACGACGGCAACGGCAATTTTAATGTAGCGATACACAACGTTTATTGAGCAGAAAACAATACCTCTGTACGTGCCGCTTTAAAAGCCTTTGTGCATATCTTAGCCCTCATAAGCAAATGGGCAACGAGACATTACTACTTCAGTAATGTGTAGTCTGAGATCAAGAACCGCGCCGAATGCAAACTGTTAGTGTTTTCATTTCGAATCTAAAACTTCATTTGCATGTCATGCTGAAGGGAAAATCTTGCTCGTTAAGACGCGAAAATAAAAACAATGTGCTCATCGGGATTTATTTTGAAAAAGTGAAAGTTCATTTTCAAACAGACATTTTCGCGGGCTTTGCCGTCTTTGTATCTTTTAAGATGATTCCTCAGAAGAAAAACTTATCGAAAAATTTGTTTTTTAATTTCCTCATACTTTCACTACCAATGCCTTTTACGAAAAGTACAGAAAAAAATTGATCACCGTGCTTATTTAAGAGATATAAGAGACAAAACCCATCCCATTCGTGACCGTACTGGCACTATCCACGCGCGTCATTTCATCGGTCCACAGCCCATTTTGCGGTGGCTAGAATCAAGGGTTTTTAAAGTAACTCTTGAAAAAAACTTGATGGGTAGACAGTCTCATGCGTTTGAAAAAATTTGATACATGATTTGAGGAAAAATTACGTACTTTTAAATAACATCGACTCAAACGTTTCTGGAGTCGTTCCTTTCAAGGTCATAATTTGCATCCTCGAGTAACGGGCTTTCGTGCACGCTTTTAGATATATCTTTTTTTACCCTTCGATGAATTTTATTGTTATTTCTAGTAAGTCATTGTGCTCGTTCAGTAGCTGGAGACCAATGCATCTCTTCACCTGGTTCGATGATTGAAAAACATTATAGTGTTCTCGGAATGCGCGGACGCTCATCCACCTAATAATGTGATTTTTAAGCGCAGTACAGGTTGTGCAGTGCAATACTGAAGAATCACCTTGAATTCTTTTCGTACGAGGATGGGATCATTTTCAGAAAATAAACTATTTCGACCTTTCGGTGGCTGAGTTTTTCATTGTTGAACACCATGATGAAACATGTTACGAGTCTAACTTGTTTGATCCACCACGGGGTAAATGACAAATATGACAGAAAAAAAAATACAGAAAATAATGTGATAGCTTTTAGATAGATTTAGAGAAAACGCTGGGAAAAAATCATGACATAAAAATATCTGACATGAATGCAATCTTTATCCTTGTATTATTATGGAATTTTCAATTGAAAGAATTTCCCCCTGAAAAAATATTTACTTACAAATCAGAAGCCTTTCTTATTAGAATGTTTTCTATTCCAGGCGATCAAAGAAAAGAGAATCTTATGCAGCGCACTTGTACAGCATTGCAAGCACGAGTTGAAGGAAGACTCTGAAGCCCATGCGCCTTTTAAGGAGAGCTGATGTCCAGCGGCTAACCATATAGCTCATGTAACATACACAATGTGAAAACTTTGTCAGATTTGCAAAACTGTTTCATTGTACATTAAGACAGAATCAATAAAAATACCAAGCATGGATTTCTTTACTATGATCTGATTCCGAGCCTACCCGTCCTTCACTTGATTGTAGAGCCTTTCCAAACCGTGTCTTCAGCCGAAAAAGGTGTTGAAGACCGCACAACCCTTGCACCATGATCGATAAAGTTGGTAAAAGTATCAAACTTTGCTACTAGCGTCGCCCAGTTTTTTTCCTAATTATACTCAAAATTTCGTTGTTTCTATTTTTTTTCTGTGGAAAAACTTCGCTATTGTAAAAACCAAAAAGCAACTTTTGAAACCATTCAAAATGTCTAATCCTATCGTTGGTAGTGACATGAAATTTCCTGGCCAATCAAGCGGCCGTTTTCTTCTCGTTTCCCTTGGCCGGTCGATGGCATTTTGTTGCCTGTAGGCTATATCCAGGGACGAAACAATCTTACCTTTAAGTCTATTGACTTCCCTAGACGAGGACAGGGGAGTAACCAGGATTTTTCAAAAGGAGTGAGGGTCACACTGTGTCATACAGAGGGTACTCACCAGATTTTCATGTCGCCTCCACGCTGTGTTTTACTTAATGTGACAAAAAAGGCTTACAAAGAGGGGAGTTGAGGGCACCAAAGGACCCCTCCACCTCCCCCCCCCCTCAGTTCAGTATTCCTGTAATCTTTATCGGTTTGCCCCCCTCAATTAATATGAATAAAAGTACGCGGAGCCTTGAAATTGCGGGCAAATAAAAAAAGTTCTCTTGCCGCTGGTGTTCAGTATATATCATAGCGTTCAATATATTTTTCAGCCCGTCTTTATTCAATGTTATCTCATAGGTTGAAGCTTTGTTTATTTTTGAACACAAATCTCCGCTAAAAATTCCGAAATTAAATAATGTCATGATTAAACTATTGGCGATTCACAAATTATTAAAGTTATTTCCAGTTTATCGAGTTCCTTCAGTATTATTAAACAACTTCCTTAAACTCAAATAACATTCTTCCACAGTTGTATCCAAATCTGGAATTTCTTAGGATGGACAATGGAATGACGGCATCAATCTCAACTCAGTTCTCTTTTTCCAGCCTTTTTTCCCGCAAACCCAGTATTTCTATAGACGTTTGGTGGTATGGCTGTATCAAATTCAACTTCTCTTTTTCCGGCCTTTTTTCCCGCAAACCCAGTATTTCTATAGACGTTTGGTGGTATGGCTGTATCAAATTCAACTTCTCTTTTTCCGGCCTTATTTCCAGCAAACCCAGTATTTCTAAAGACGTTTGGTGGTATGGCTGCATCAAATTCAACTTCTCTTTTTCCAGCCTTTTTTCCCGCAAACCCAGTATTTCTATAGACGTTTGGTGGTATGGCTGCATCAAATTCAACTTCTCTTTTTCCAGCCTTATTTCCAGCAAACCCAGTATTTCTAAAGACGTTTGGTGGTATGGCTGCATCAAATTCAACTTCTCTTTTTCCGGCCTTATTTCCAGCAAACCCAGTATTTCTAAAGACGTTTGGTGGTACGGCCGCATCAAACAAAGCTGCGTCATCACCTCTTTTCTCCTCCTCAGAGTACGCACTCAGCCATAACAGAGATATTTGCAACAGAATAATTAGGAGATACATGCTAGGAAACCAAAAAGAAAATCGCGGCTATTAATTAATGAAAGTTTTTTTACACAATTTTCGCTTAGAGTATTTAGATCTTCAAATAAATAAAATCACGTTGTAAACCCTTCAACAGAGATTTAGGATTTTCAAAACAACAATTTTGACTCATCCTTGAGGCTTTAAGAAAAATAAGTTTTGTTTTTCTTCTTTAGGGGTAGCTCATCTGTCAACTGACTTAAATGCTCTCAAAAAATTATAAATGGCAAATTTTAGTCACCAACAAAATAATTTTTCTAGCAACATTTGAAAATCATACCTTTGCCACAATTTTCTGAGTTAAATTTTGCAATTTCCTTGTCATCCACAGGGTACTTTTCAAGGAAAACGTTTTGCATCTGAAAATTTCTTTACAAGATGGCTTCCAAAATCCCAGAGGAAGTCGATTACATATATTTTTTATATTCAAGAAGCTATTACCTGTCTTGAATTCAGGTGTAGTGTTTCTTTCTTGCTCCAGTTGCCGGAACTGTAATTTCAGCGTTTGAGGCGGCTCAGAGTTAAAAGACAGACTTCTTCCTTTTGCTGTTACTGTCCAACTCCTATTATACGATTCTTTGTCTTGATAAGATCAGACCGCTCTTTTCATTTGATCATTAATCTCAAAGCTAACAACAGTTTGAATGACCTGAATGAAGCACGTTGACTGATATAATTTTTTCGGCTTTTATCAGAGAGACGATATCAGCATCCGCATAAATTATGTTTAGGAAGTCAAAAGAAAAAGATTTGAAACCGCCGTTTTTAATAAAGTTGTTACGTTATTTAGGGCAATTTAACGAACACATTTTTACGCCTTAAGTTAACAAAGAAACTAAAATACTTTTAGCAAACTAAAATAAAACTGAAACATGCTGGTACAGAAGACACCACCGATGATCCTGATTTCCTTTCTACAAAAAAAAACCCAAAAAAGCTGAACAAAAGACAATCAAAAACTTGAGAGAACTTCTTTCATTACAACCGAAGAGCTTTGCCTTGATATAGTGTGTTTAGTATTGTCTTGACCTCTTTGTTTTACCTTTTTTTCACTGTAATTTTCCCTTTTCTTTGCAAAAAGACATGCGCGCGAGGACTTTTGGGATCGGCGTCTTTGACACGAGCTTTCTCCTTGTCGAGATTTCGAGTTAAGCGTCCGCGTCGAGAAGCGTTTCCAAGTCCAACGGTAATTGTGTATAGCATCTTTCTAACAATTAAAGGTAGTTTTGAGTTTAAAAGGTGATCAGAATCCGTCAAAAGAGAAACGGTTGTGTGAAGTCTCGATCGAAGGCGGCGGAGGGTCCACAGCTCAGTCAGCTAACGTGAGAACTTAAAGCAAAGAACTTGCAGCATAATTAAAGTATAACCAGATATCAAATACATGAAAAGTTGAGCTTCTAACTCGGTTTGCTTTGATGTTGGATTATTCTCAGAGTTTTAGAGTTTCTTCGGTCGGAGTCCACGCGACCATCAAAGTGTGAAAGGCGCGGAGAGTGCTGTTTTGTGCTTAAAAGCTGTCTTGACTCATTTGTGTTATACAGAAGTTAATACAGAAATAATTTCACCGATGCTCAGAAGACGGTGTAAGTTTAGCATTTTGACCGAAAGACTCGGCTAACTCCGATTTGTCCGCCGCAAATCAAGCTTATTGCACAAAGCCGAAAGACTCGGCAATTTCTGGATTTGTCAGAGGCAAGTCTGTTATTGGGCGCGAAGGACTCGCAGCACAACTGAAAGCAAACAGTAGTCAAAGAAAGGAAATTACTGGTTGTAATTGTAAATTACAGCAAAAAAAAAACATCCCAAGCACTTCGCAAAACTACATTTTGTACACTTGTAGTATTTTGAGATCCAAAATTACTAAAACCAAAGTATTGAGCCACAATTCCGTAACAACATAACAGAAAAATTACACAACTGTAAACAACAAGCCCAACTAAAAAAAAAACAAAAGAAAATGGTACTGTAGGGCGGGGGCAGCTCTAGTGAGAACTATAACTAGTTAGTTAATTAATGTTATCAGGCCGCTGCAACATAGATATCTACTGGTCAATTAAGTTTCCAAACTGCACGAAAATTGTTTATTTCATCGTCAGAAAATGCAACATAGAATACGTGTAGCTTCTGACGATCAGGTATCATAAGTGGGAAAATTATCGGTAGAATAAAATACATCATTTAAAATCTACATATCCAGAGCTTATTCTTCGAATCTCTGATATATCAACAACCAGGATAAAAAATTTAAACTGGCAAGAATTTGAGTAATTTCGCGTAAAGGCACATCCAAAAAAAGTTTAATTACTGGCTTGATATGAAATCAAGATAACGTTTCAATGTTTCCGATTGATAAAATTTCATTTTTCCTTGTTTGATAAACGTGTACGAAAGGACCGAAAAATATAACAGCTTTTAATTTGTGAAGCAGCTAATGAAACTTTTGACGCCCTTGAGAGTTGATGAAAGATTCTTTATTTTCCTATTCCAAGGCCATCCTTTCGTTATCCTTATATTTCAGAAACTAAATCACAAGTATCATTCGAGGGTAGATCCTATTTTACTATCGGTGCAAATGAAACGTACAGGACTTCATAAGCATTCGTTGAGTTCTTAGCAATGGATTATGTATGAAACACAGTATTAAATTGGAAAACGCGACTCAGTACTAAAATGGAAGCGACGTCACTTCCCAAAAGAACCTCTCATTTACTTTTTTATTACGGGCAAGAATATTCATGATAACTCAATACTTTGAACCTCGTTGGCCCCCGATAACCAAACAACTTTAGCTTGTAACTTTTAGCTTGGGTTTCAACTCCATACAACTGCTTATCAGCACAAAGCAAGAATCATTTTATATTGGTTTCAAAACCTAATTCATTAATGACAGTTGAGTGACAAAGACTCAAACCATACTGGAGAAATATATGTTGGTTAGAGTCAGTCGTATGTTTGGAACTGGAGATTTGATCGGTCCAGCAGTTTATGTTTATGCTTCTAACTTCACTATGTACTAGAGAATCTTGCGCAAACAAATCAAAATTCGGCAATCGACAACCTTCAGTAATTTCCAGCAGTTCCTCGTCTTCACTCTGTGTTATTTCTAACTAAATGCTTCTATTGCGCTAGCCTATACATCTTGGCGCTTTCTTCGTTAGTACCACATCCGTTCTGGTAATAGTATTCGCGATCTATAATATTTCATCTGCTATCAAAAACCTTTTGAATGTGACAAAACATCCGACCCGTGCCAAACTTACTGTCGGATCTTCCGTTTTCGGAAAGAATCCTTACAACGCCACCGCTCTGTGTGCAACGCAAGACACTTCATATGTCATTCCACAGCTGCTAAATTCACAAGCGTTGATGGAAAATTTGGTTTGAGGTTAAAGTTGAATCTCAAAATATATTCAAATTCGCCAGCCTGCATGGCTTCTTCGGCAAGTCTATCTCTTTTAGTTAAATATGCTCAACCATCTAGGAATGGATAAGACTAAGCGATGATCACCTGCCTAAAACACGAAACAAAAATAAGTTTTGAGCCGAAAAAAAGATTTACCACTAGTGCAAGATTCTAAATATAGAACTAACCCCGCGCTCAATCTGAAATATATATATAATGTGCCTTGTATGTTAAATATCAATATTACCTTTCACTAAAACTAAGTGAAGTTCTTGTGTGCTTATTCGTCATGATATAAAATTTAAGTTTGTTTTAAATCGTACTACAACAAAGAAACAAGTTTACAATTATATATAACGTGTACATAAATACATTTAATGCAGGAATAACGCCTTTGACGACATTCTCCGAATGGCATTTGGAAGTTCAGATAGGAATCATGTGTGAGTACTAAATACAGTCAATGAGAATTTTTTTCGAGTTGAGTTTTCCAACCTCTCGGGAAAATTAAAAAGAAATTGTTGGCTTTGCAATTAACGATGTATTAGTTGCGGAAAATAGGTCAAAATGCAATTGGGCGTTAATTAAGCGCCATTTGATGAGGAAGTAATATTGAACAAGTCAAGGAAACGAAATCTTATCTACAACGCCTTTGTGGATTTCGTTATCGACTAATTTTGCCAATGTTTCCATTTCCTTAGCACAGACCACAGATGTCTTTCTTGTCATGACTGGAGACAGCTATACGAAATTCAGTGCGTGATCAAAAAAGAAATTCAAAATTTTCAACTGGTAGTTATCATTTCCGTTCATTAAACCTGAAAAATTTTCCAAATCCATTTTACCCCATCTTCTCGATCGAAATTATGGATGAATCTTAAATGTAAACTGAGATGCTGACACGACTCGGAGGCGACTTGAAACACCAGTAAAGAGCCTTGAAGTGAAAGTAAATAAATACTGGAAATAAATACAATGTCATATTAATATTATTAACTTAGTTTTAAAGCTAGTATTTCAATTAAAAGCAATTTTCCGCTGTAACGCTGAAACCGTCAAATACGCAAAAAATCGTTACTTAGATCCTATCACCAACGTTCACAGAAATTTGTTTCTGCCCTTTACTTCGAATTCCATATTTTGTCTGTCTGGCTGTTTCTTGTCTGTCTTTCCGTCCATCTATTAGACTACATGTCCGACCTAACCGTCCGTCCTTCTGTACATCCGTTTGTCCTCTAAATCAATGCAAATAATAGAACGTTAGTTCAGTAACTCGGTCGTTGAAAGTCTGAAAACAGACTCTTTTGTTTACTAGATGATGTGTTTTAAGTTATGTTGCTGGTAGCGGAACTTCAGGATGGTAAGTATGGCGTTGGATCTGAGCGCTCCCAAGATTTTCATTTTCACCTTTGTTTCCTTTTTCTGTCAATACCTTTTTTTTCTTCTTTTTTTTCTGCACCTGTTTTTAGTTTCTTCAAGAAATTCAAATCTATTGTTAGCTCTAAGGACGTTACTTACAGCCTTTTAATCCAAGTTTTGACAACATAAGTCAAACTTTCTCTCTTCACAGTGACAGCAATGAATAACAGTTAGAGAACATTCTTATAAAAATGCGCTACAATGCTCATCAAACGACGTGGCATGAAAAGGGAGGATCAATTTTTCCTCTTGCTTAGAGCGACTTCCACTACCAAGCCAAGATGAACACAATAATTCTGGCCCTGGAAGGTTTGATACTGGTAACTTGCTTTTTCCGAGCAGTGGATGGTTTTTCACCTTACATGACAAAGCCCAAGGGCGATGTAAGTGGCCCTGATGATCGTCAGATAAAGGTAAAAAATGAATTATGAACAATTGTAGTTCAAACATTAACTTGACATAACTTAATGCAATCAACGATTGGCCTTAAAATTTGCTTGAGCTAAAGTAATGGTTAACCAATGTGTTGAACATTCTAAACGATAACGGCGAACTGGTGAAGTGGTCAAGGCCATCGTAAGCTGTAACGTACTCATTAAAGCATAAGTATCCCCTCAAATTTTTTTTTATTTTTGCTAAAATGGTTTGTGGTGCCTGATTGTTATAATCCATTTGTTCTTATTTTAAAGCGAGTTTCTGGCCGCCGACTCAGCATTGTTTTCTTGACTATTTACAGTATGTAAATATCTCGTGTACTTTTGAGTGTACTTTTTTGAAAGACATCCCCATTTCAGTTTGAAGTCCCGCAAAGAATTATAAGAGTGTGCTGTGACAGATCATTGTCTTCGACCAATCATGGAGCACGGAGTATTTATCTGTTTGAGTCACTGCATCCCCATTAAACCTGCATTAGCCATTTTTTGTCAGTCAAATATTAAGAGCTATTCTGTTTTGTTTCAGCTAGAAAACTGGTGCCATCTTCCATTTATCTAAAACCTCCCGCTTTCTAGATAACACCAAAGTTTTACCTTTCGTTATGGAATTTACCTTTTTCCTGACTCACGTGACTCACCCTGAAACTGTTTTATCGTCATGTTCGAATGCCGGACATTTCTCGTTAATTTTCAATTATCTGTATTATTTTCACATTTCTCGTTAATTTTCAATTATCTGTATTATTTTCACTCTCAGCGCCATCCCAGCAGATATTACCAGATTGAAAAAGAGGGTCGTAAGAGAGAGACTGATGCTGAAACTATCCTGCAGAATGGAGGCGACAGCCAAGTGCGCACGCGCAAGAAGCGACGTTCTTTCTCCTATTTGATGCTCTGATGCAAGTTGATATAAACCATAATGATCTAATAACAAATGCTTTGAAATATTAGTTATGCAGAAAAATGAATTAATTCAAGCTCAAACTAGCTTAAGCAATATGAATAACCTCCGAAAAGAAAGGCAAGAGTTTTATTTGCAGAATAATTAAAAATATTTGCAATATTATAGAGAAATAAAGTGGGGCCTAATAAACTCACCAGTGTTGGCAATTTTTTTAAACTACGCAAATTCGCTGCCATGCACTCTGTCGAAAATTTCGTCTACATATCACATAAAATAATTTGCCGTCTAAGCTGAGAAATGTGGAAAATCTTGAAACCCTACCTCAACTTCACCTGAAAGGTGGGCATTCGTGCATTCAGTTGAGCCCGCGTTAGACTAGAGATCGCAAGTCGCGACAATATTTCAGTGGCGTTCGCAAACTTCTTCCCAGTGGGAACATGGAAAAAGACTCTTGATGGATAATTTTCACTTCAGCGTGGCTGTGAGCAACTCTCGTTGAAATTTGAACAGAGTGCGTGGAATTCTGAGTTGAGCTGTTATAAGCGAACAGACAATCAGGGGCAAAGCTGTTGTGTATTTTACCTGGAAATGTCAAGAACAAAATGAGAACATTAGTCTTGCCTCTGAACTGATTTGAATGAAATAAGAACAATGAACACTTATATGATTACTGACTGAATTGGACTCCACTCGTTCCTAATACCATTATTAATAACGATAACTTATTCATATAGTACCATTCCTAATCTTACGGCGCGTGAAAATTCTATCCCAACAAGCTGTTATGGCCCAAAGAAAATTTAAGCTTGCGTAGAGCCACCTTAGACCGAGGGAGAAGTACAGAATGGGACTGAACTAAGCAGAACAGTTGAATGAAGCAAGCACCCATGACGGCGCATAAAATAAAGACAGACTGAGAACGTAAATTATTACCATATACGTTAAAGTACAATCCCGCAGACGCAAATCTCTGATTATAAAATTACACTTCGAGCAAAGTTTAATCGAAAAAAACTCCTCATTTAGCATTTTAGGTCCGAGGCTGGTTTTGTTTTAAGTCCGGCATATGATTGGTCGATTTGCCTTCTTCGTGAATGCAAAACTTTTCCGGAGAACAACATTCAAAGCCGAGACATATCAGAACTACTTACATTTTTCTCTGCTCCACTTGCTACATACCGCTACTGATGACAACGGACACCCTAAATGACAATAAAAAGAGAACATAACCTAGTTCTTAACAACGTATGATTTTAATATGTTTTCCCACAGTAGAAATTTCAAAGTTCATAGAAGCCGGAATAGGTCTGATATGAAATGCGTGCACGTGATCATTCATGTAGCAGTCATTTTGGAGGCGTACGATGAATTAATTTGCTGGTCTGCGGCTGAAAAAGGAACTTTAGGGTAGATTTCAACTTCTCATAGCGTGGGTGCACGAGATCGTACAAGAAAATCGATTCAACATTCCATCTCAGAAAATCACTTTTTTTTCATTATTTCAAAGAGCAGTTGTATTGTTTCAATTTTTACTGACTTTAGCGTTCACTCGATAGTTCTCACTCTAGATGCTTCAGATTACACTTGCAGTTGTCTCATAATCACGAATGAAACATGCCTGTTTTGTTAAAAAATTTAAGGAAATCACCAATTAGTCTACACTCTTTCTTTATTTGTAATCATTTTCTGATTGTTTAAAGTCGAAACGAAATTATATATTTTCACTGAAAGCCGGTAGCTGACAGTTTCCTCGGCACAACTATCATCCACAAATAATAAGTATTGCAGTAAACCGCGAAGATTTTCCAAATATGATTACATAGTAATTGATGTCAGGGACAAAATTTCGATCGTTGGACAAAGAAAACTGTAAAATGTCGATGGTGCTGCTAAAAAACTCGGAGATAGATACATATGTATCAGTGCATGTTATTAGCTGACTAAAAATTTCAGCAGCTATTCCATGCACTCAACTATGCTTAAGGACCCTCTTAGTACAGGGATAACGCTCATGCAGGAATCAATATTTTGTTCAATTTCATAGAATAATTGATACGTGACGGTAATGATATTCACGCAATTTATTGTGTACATTGCAAGTGTTACGATGAATTTTTTTAACCCCAGAAAACATTTTGCTGTAAGATTTACGCGAAAGACATAGCATCATACAACATATTGCAAATAGTTTTTTTGAGAAGTATGATACTGGCAAGTAATTCTTTAGGTAAGGGAAAAAAAACAGGAAGAGCAAAGTTAAGCTCAGAAAAAATGAGCCAAATTAATTACCGAACAGAAATATGAAACTTTGAAATTGGATTTTTGACAAACCGGCTCCACAAATGTAGAAAACTTCTTCGTTCCCATGTAGGGGAACAAAGAAGACCTAAGGTCTTGTCGGCACCATTCCGCTTGCGCTCTTAATGGTAAGCCGATTTTTATGTTGCCTGATCACGACTTTTCATCCACAGTGTAATATGAATCATCATGACAAAAGTTTTAATAAAAATGATAATAAGGAATAGATGAGTCCACGCGGAGTGGGGCAAATAATCTAGGAAGGAAGGAATAATGATATGTTCCCGGTAATTATTTCCTTTACTTGGAGTGAAGAAATCAGGGCATAGGAAACACAAAATTATGAAGCTATATAATTCCATTTAATTCTAAACTTCCTCGGTTTGCTGTGAGAATATGGTCGCAGACAGACCTCTTTGCCAAGTTTGTACTTTATGCCAAATTAGCTTTTTACATGAGATACTAAGAAATGAAATGCACTTCCTTTGCTTTGTTAAGTTTGACATGAGCTTTCTATGACGCAAGAAATTCTTTCTGTTTATCGTATCAATTTCCCTTTCGGCATCTTCAAGTCTGTACAACCCATAATTAAAACATGAATTTAAAACTCAAGAGATTTCCTGTACAAAAGCAACTACGTAATAATCTTATCTCATTTAGCTTTTGCTAAGACGACGAAATACGATCTAGACCATATATAAATTTGATCAGGACAAGGATTCTTATAAAGGGAATTCTCTGAAGTTAGGCTTTTAGGACAGTAGTAACCGTGGCTCGGAGCAGATCTTTCTTATCTAAAAGGCAACATTGCGGCTTGATTGATAAGGTAGGTCATTTGTCATACGTCAGTGACACTTCTTTTCGATGTACGAGGTAACACTCCAGTATAGACGCTTCCACTTAAAACAGACAAAAGGAGCTATACATTTTGGTGCATCAAAGTTTTCGCTAGTATGTATTTCCTTACACCTTTAAGATTCGGGACCTGAAATATAAGATCCAGTCAGTCTAGATTTGCTTTCCTTTTTGGTTTCACCCATATTCGGCCTATTTACGACGCCTTGGTCGTAAAAATTTCATAACTTTAAACCTTCAACATATTCATTTTTGCACAGAATAAAGTAAAACGAATCATACATGTCGGTAAAATATAGCATTCATACATGGGTCATGTTCGTTTAACGCAGTAAAGCATACACTTCTAGAAATTTATATATACATATACATATAATATATATATATATATATATATATATATATATATATATATATATATATATATTGTCTCCTTATGAAAGCAAATCAAACCAGAGGTTTTTTCCTTGATCTTTTAGCATGGCTCTGCTGCTTATTCTGTTACAAATAACACTGGTGTGGCAACAAATTGTGTATTCGGGAGAACAGAAAAAAGGAAATGATGCAGTAAATCCGCAGTCTGGCGTTCAAATCTCGGAATTTGGAAAAAGAAAAACTTTTTCCGATGCAGAAATTCCACAGTCCATCTCTAGGATGAATTCCTGGAAAGGAAAACGAGGAAAAATGTCTGGTGCAGACATTCCACCGTCCATCTTTAGGACGAATTCCTGGAAAGGAAAACGAGAAACTATGTCTGGTGCAGATATTCCACCGTCCATATTCAAAAAACCAGGGCTTGGGAAAAGAGACCCAGCTGTGTCTGATCAAGCTGCTCTGTCCCTAGTTTAAGAGCGTTTGGAGGTTATAATTTCCCTTTCAGCATACCAGAAGATTATTTAGACTAAGATGGACCCTAACAGTCACCAGACACAGATAGAAACTTTAGAACGCTTCGGTTAGACTTAAAACTCCCTTAGCAAACTAATGTGTTATGCCTTCGTAGAGATGCGAGATAAAAAGTTTGAAATGCGACGGTCTTTGTTTTGTCTTCTTTCTCAGAAATATTTACTTTTTTTACGTTTGTTTAACAAGATTTCCATAATTCTAATGTGAAGGAAGAAGATCGCTGAAATCGTTAATAGGAAGTTTTTATTGTGATTTTAGTCATTTGACCTAATGATTGAGTATGGTGCGTTACGTCATTATTAGGTTCCACGATGAAATTTGTCCAGCATGTCACTTGGATCAGCAAAATCTTCTGTTTTTAAGTATGCAAGATCTAGCTGAAAGGCTTCCTTCTCAGTTTCTTAATGCAGCCAGAAAGAATTAAACTGAGGTCTGTAACAAACAGCGAGATCAACTCGTGAAGAGGGGGGCACTGGGGTCCTCTTAGAAACCGCAAAACCGTAGCCGGAAAAATCATCTAAAACCACAAAACCGCAAAAGAGAAAAAAAAAACTGATCAAAACCAAAAACCGCATGAAGTTCTCGCCGCCTTTCCCCTCCTCGTAAAAAAACGCTACACAATCCATGATTGCTTCTTGAGGTCCTTGAGCTTCTTCCGTCGCCAGCGCTTGAGGCACATTGGAAGCCATAGTTTGCTAACCGATCGACGTAAGTGCTACACATTGTAAGGTTCAAAAGTCTCAGGCGCTATTCGAGACGCGTTACCACCGACGGATCCCTAAGATATTTCAACTATTCGAAGTTATTTTGGTGAAATTTGGTTTATCACACCTTCCTCTCAATAACATTTGCGTTTACGCGGCTAATCGAGATAACTGGGGGTGCATAACTGCCACTTAGATCGATCGAAGAGAAGCTGGAACCCGAATAGTAAAAACCAAAAACCACATTGGATACCAAATCCAAAAATCCGTTAGTATTTTTGACAATAACTCAAAACCAAATGCTAAAAAAACTGAAAAACCGGAAACCGCGGTTTTATGGCGCTAAAACGAAAAACCGATTTAAACAAAAAAAACTGAAACCGCAAAACTGAAAATCCAATGCCACCCTCCGTGAATTTTGGATTTTCCGTCTGAGCTTGATGGTTTGAAGAAATGTCACAAGGAAACTATATTTACAAGCCTGAGATTTTCAAGAACAAAACAATATCATTTTCTTTATAAGTTGCGTCTCTTTAGGCAGCTCTGGTTCTTACATACAGGGTTTCTCAATTACAGGGAAAAACAGCTATTGCGACATGCTTCCCTGAGATGTCTCTCCTCAGCACTGGACCATCAAGATTGCGTAAAAAAGCGCTTGGCGCTTTATTTTTTTCCACCAAGCAATCCGCCACCCGCCTTTTCTGGGTAACACCCCGCATCGAGAGCAGATGCGCACTATTTCATTAAAATGTTGAAAAAATCGTAGATTTATCAATTTTGACGACCGGTAACTGATTTTTTGTCATTGTACACATACATAAGGATCCCATTTTCCTAAAACCCAAGAGGCCCCGATTCTTTTGCATATGAGGTCAGTGCTTGATTTGCCAAACTCAAGCCAGGAGTCCCATTAATCTGCAATGTTTTATTTGCAGGTTTTTACTCAAAGGCGATCATTCGGATGTTAATTATAACCATATCTGCTGGAAATAATGTTATCCATAAATGAGATAATTTGGTTTAGTCAATTAGGTTGATAATGCAAATTGGCCAACGTATGGCAAGTTTTAAAGCTGACGTTTCGAGCGTTGGCCCTTCGTCAAAGCGAAGGTTTGATTCCCCAACGACGTAGCAACACAGTTTCTTAGAAACTTACCCCCTTTATTCATTTATCCATAAAACGAAGCCACAAACTCGTAAACGTGGGGTTTTTTCTCTGTAACATTTGTAAATTTATTTTATTGGCAGTTTCATCGGATAGCATTCGTTTAATTTATGCTAACATAAAATGCCAGTAACTCCAAAGAAGAATATCACGATATTCAGCTTAATATTGTGTTCCTAATGTCCCCTACGCAGCTCGTTTGATAGTTATCAACATTGTGAACACGTAACTATTTAAGACAGGAATCTTCCCCTTGCTGTATAGTTCTCTTCTTCCAAAGACCTCTTGGACTCTGGGCAGTGAGTTCTTGCAGCTGAACAAATTGCTTCAAGGCTTTGATCATTCTGTTGGACAGATCACAAAAAAGGAAATGCTGGTTTAAAGTCATAACCAATGAGAATATTCTTAAATGATGAATAAAGGAATTCTATAGCACCATATCCATGAGCTCATAGCTCTTAAAAATGGACAGTTCAAACAGAATTTAGCTTCAAAAATTTACATCAGTGAAGAAAACTAAATTCTAAAAAAACATCTACTTTCTTAAATCTTAGAATGTTCATACATATGTTATAGTATTTACTTTGAATTTAATTTTGAGTTATATAGAATACCTGAAAATTGGCTGGTGTCTCATTTCATTATGTAATGTCACAACTGAATAGCTAAGCGTAGGACATTATAAACTTGTGTTGTTGTTGTCGTTGTTGAAACGTTTTATACCATACACATATAGTTCCGGAGAGCCGTTTGCAACTTTCTTAGTTTTTTTTTTTAATTTTCCTGTCAAGATTTTTTTACGATTATCTTTTGTATTTTGCCACTTATGTCATTTTTAAGGTATGGATGTCCTAAATCGTACTTGATGCTTTTGTACAATATCTCTTTTTCACCCCGTAGTCTGAAGTGGATCATAAAGAGAGAGTAGTGCGTCACAACTAAGCTTAAAAGTAAATCCAGTATCTTTTTATTTTGTTGGGATGCAAATCCAAAGGGACACTTTGTTCTCTCATTACTCTACTTATCTTCATCACAGATTCCTATCATATTTCCTTAATGCACGAAAGGTTGATATTTTACGTATCCTCGTTTTTTCCGGGACTATACATAGGAAAGCAAGGCGTACAAAGCTATTTTTAATCGAGCCACGAATTCATGAGTTAATTTTTAATATTTGGGCGTAACACCCGCTTACCACAAACTCTGCCAGACAAAATATCGTGATATAACATATTGTAAAACCTGAGTAGAAAGGCCAACTTCCTGAATCGAGGATAATAAAATTGAATTTGGTTTAGGATACATTTTGTAGTGAACTAGGTAACAAAATCATATCACTGTACACTCTACAATTGTTGAAACAGCCTGGAGTGTTATACATTTACTTTTGATGAATGCTAGAAACTTTTTCCAAAGCCTGATCTTATGTTATGTCTAGCTTTTCCTGTGTAAAATAATTATTACGGAAGCATTTTCAAGAAAGATGGCGCTATTATCACCAGTAATATAAGGTTCGGTAAGAGTTGCGACCACCTCGGCAGAAATTTCGTTTGATAAACTCAAGATTATAATTCGACTAAGGAAATATGTTACGTGATGTTATCGGATTTGGTTTTTAAACTTAAGTTTGACCAAGCAACTGTGTTCGATTCTACAATATACCTCCTTTCGTACTTTAGATCTTTTGCCGTTATAGCCTCCTGAACCAGCCGTAAACGCCTCACATTGAGTTGTTAGGACAGTCACAAGAAGGAGGGTGATAAACAGGAACCTCATGGAGCACATGGTGCAAGTGAAGAGGAATGGTATAGTACTACTTATGTTGTAAGGTTTGAACAGTCCTATGGCGATTTTAGACTCTGGCAAGTTTGAAGTTGTCTTTAAATACAAATTTCTGAACTCAACTGCGCTCATTTCCGCTTGATGTTGTCGTTACGGCTCCATTAAGTCTGCTATCTTGAACTTTCTAATTATCAAATTTGAATAGATACGATTGTAAGACAATACTTTGCAAAGATAAATTAAGAATTTTGAAGATGAGACCTACGGAGGTAAATGGGTTAAAAACTTCGCGAGGCATTTCATAAACATAGCTTAATTTCATTAAAAAGAAGACAAAAAGACGGGCGTAGATTTGCAAACAAACATTTATCTTCACCAATAATTATGAGCGTGCTTGTCTGGAAAAAAAAGTTCGGGAAACAGTAAAGCAACAATAAGCTACAGGGAATTTTTACCACATTCTACACCAATATTTAATGCGGGGGAAAAGAATAGAATAGTATATCGATCCGCGTCAGATTATCCGGCATCCAACTAAGATCATGACTCCACCCCTAAATAAATTCCTTCTAACGATTTGAATATAAAACCTGTTCGAGTTCATTCGTATGAGAAATATGATATACGTTAGACTTAAAATTGGGTACAACAACTTTGGTAGCTAGCGAAGACAAGTAACACGTTAACACGTCCACGGAAAAGCGAGTTTGTTGGAAGATGAGATGTATATTGAGTTACGAGAAACGTACGCGTGCGATAGAGGATTTCCCCTTGTACAATATAAATAATTTGCTGCTATTTTTTATTCCACTACAGAGAAATAGAAATAAACGTCCTTGGTTTTTCTTGTTTCGGCCTAGTAAGCTCAGTGTGGTTTGAGATGCGGCTTTCCCATAAGGGACGCCTGTTCCGTTTTTTGTTTGGTTTATATTTTGAGCAACTAAGGAAAATGTGAGTTCGTAATGTTTATTAACACACAGTAATGCAGTGTGGTCTAAATTTCCTTTTATTTTCGTTTTCCAATTTGATTTTCCTCCGCAAATGATAAAAACATTGATAATTGGATTTCTTCAAAAATACAATAATCAAGCGGGAATAAAGGCGATAAAATACAGTAGAATTTATGATATCACGTCAAATATCAACTAATAAAATAACTAAGTACATTATCCTAAAAACTTTTTTCTGCCATTTTGCTTAAATAACGTTAATGAGACTTTCCTTTTTTCCATCATCAAATTTGGAATTTTGTTGTTTATATAAAAAGCTGATTTTTCATTATACGACCTTTGAATGAACATCAAATAATAACATTAGTCAAATTTTATAAAACGTAATTATTTGCAGCAAAATTGCATTAAATATTTAACAAGTTTTTTCTCAAAGTACAAACTGAAAGTTCAAAATATAATATTTGATTCAGGAGCTTGTTTTCAGAATAGAATATGAAATGTGGCCTTTCAAAATAAAAAGAGCATCGAGAATTCACTATAGGCAAACAAATAAACCAAGAATATGTGAATTGAGTACAAATTGCAGTTGACCGACTATCGAGTCCTTATCTGTTCATTTTAGTAATTGCAATGTAATGATCACAGTCTTTAAAAGTGTTCAGGATAGCCGCAGGTGCCGGCTCAATGGCAGAATTTTCTTTGAAAATTTTCAGATGTGCAAGAGATAGATTGTCTTTGTTTCGCTGTCGCTAGGTTGTGTTTCCTGTGAACACTGAACTGAGCGATGTGTTTGATTAAACGTCCCACAGAGCTAATATATTTCAAAAGAAAAACTCTCCTTCTTTTGTTTACTTTTGCAAAGTAAATTAGTCAGTTCAATCGCAACAAAAACGACTGAAATTAATTCGTCGATCATTTGGCGAACGCGTCCAGAAAACAAAATTATGTTATGTTGGATAGAAAATAACTGAAAAAAAAAGAGAAAAAGGTACTGACATTGCGATACAGTATAATGGTTTCTGATGCAGGCGGCATAGTTCCCTAAAAGTACTACATACTTGATCCTTAGCGTAAAGACTTGCAAGCTTTGGTTGTCATACGCATCTTTCCTAAGCCACTGATTAAGATAAGGAAAAATATATGAACGTAAAAACTCTAAAGGACAGTATCCAGGCTTGCTTTCCGAAAAAAGGACTTTATCCTGTATAAATATGGAATTTATTTTTGCTTGGTCTCCAGGAGCCGGCAAACACAAAAGAAAATTAAAGAGAACGTTACGTCGCATGTTGAAAGAAGAGTGGAAATGTCTTCTTCTTGTCGAAAATGGATGACAGCTTTCAAAAATAAATTCACGACCATCAGTGACCTCAATTTTTGCTAATTCTAAGGGAAAAGAATAATACAAGACCAAGGTGAAGGTGATATGGGACCACGCGGAGACCATGATCATGTCTGTCATAGATATCATACCGATAACAGTACCAGAGGGCTTATTTGCTCCATTTGCTGACGTCTTTTAGAGTACCATTACTAGTACCTCTCCATACGCCCCTGTCTGCGTGAAGAAGAGAGACCTTGTGGAGGACAATGAACAGACAATGCAAAAGTGCTGTTCATAACACAAAAGTAGCGGAAGGTAAAACCCCCAACTGCAGATGTCATGCATAGAACCTCTTATTAAACTTATAAAGTTCGAGGTCCGTGAAGTGAATTTCAGACCCATCGATCAAACTGTAGCGCGCGCTCATAACCGTGAGTCAATCAGTTGTTAGCTGCTTTCAACACATGACTTTAAAAACAGATATCTTAACTCTCTTTTTGCCATGAAAGTTGGCAAAAAAGTTTGGCAGTAAAAACAGATTTGTAGTTAAAAGACCTTACGGATAGAGCTCAGCCCAAACATGTAATGCTTGGATTTTAATAAGATACTTATTAGGTATTGTTATAACGATGATGGAAATCACAACGATATACTTCAAGGTTGGCACTGTAATGGCCAGTCAGGGCAGGAACATAGGCTTGGAAAGGAGAGATGCCGGCTGAATGTTTAATTTTGAGTTTCGCTTTTGCTACTTCTTCTCGTGTACCTTATTATAAAACAACAAAATTCCATGAAACCTTGACAAGGACGCATCCAAACGAGTCGCAAGACACTTTAATCTCCCTAATCATTCTGAGCAACATTGGGCAGTCTGCGGCCTTTCCGGCCCTACATCTAGGCATTTCGGAAGTCCCCTGAAATCTCGAACAAAAGTTCATCTTTCAAATCGGCACTCTTATTCCCACGCTATCAAAGAACGCTTTTATTCAACTAGTATTCTTATTATTTCTCATTACCATGTTTTCACCGATAGCGTAACTTCATTTTCTACATATAAACACAAACAGAACCAACAATTCTTTCATTCGCTCTGACGAGGGGCTAAAGCTTGAAACGTCAGCTTAGAAACTCTTTACGGTGACCAATTCACATCATCAACTCGGTTTATGAGAAAACCAAATTATCTTTCCGTTCAATTGGAAACTCAGACAAAATGTATTAGGGCAAACACTTAATAAACGGATCAATATCAAAACCACCTATTCCATCGAAGTAGAGACTAAACATCTGAGGCTGTTTTTGGGGGTTGAATCTAATCTAATTCCCCTAAAGGTGAAATACAGATGCCAAATTAGCATTAAAAGCTACAGTAGTTCTATTAATAGAGTCAATGCATGAACGAAATCGATAAAAGAGCGTTATTTGGAAAGAGAGTTCTAAGAAATTTAATAATAAAAAAGTTTCAATATCATTTCAATCTGTTTCTTCACCTTTTTCCTTAACTAACAAGCCCCGGCCGCGACTTACCTCGATGCTTAATTCTAGTAATCAGTAGTCCAGTGTATTGAACCCAGGCGGCCGAAAATTGATTAATAGACCACTTAAAATCCATGAACCTGCTCAGAAAAAATAAAATAAATAACTAAGTAGTTTGATAAAATTTTTGAGGCTTTTGTTCGTTATAGTTACATACATCTAAGAATCAAGACACTCTCGGTATTTAAGCACTATTACAGAAGGAACATGTGTTAACACAGGCAGTCTCTCAATTTCTTTCGATCTCTCTTTTTTTTGTTACTCAGCCTGTATTATTACAAGTATGATTACCGGAAAGTCGGAAATATCTGTGTGTTTTTCAAATTTTCGTTGGGCGATCCACGATTCCTATATAAGGAAAGAATGATTTAAGTGAGTTCCCGGATAACAACGATAAGCTAGGCGCGCGATGCAAAGTGGGTAATTCAAGTCCTTCAATCATCCTAAAGCTTCTTTCATGTTCATACACAGTGGTGTGTGTCTTGATTGTTACTGCAAGGCTAGTTATATTTGTAGCGTTACTAATCCGTATACCCTACAGCATAGTTCAAACTTTCTGCGAATGTGAAATCGTTATTAAACTTGATGTTCAAGTATAGCTTCTAGATACCTGAATTTTCATGCTATAATATTATATCAACAGCTCCACATACCTTGTCTAATAATTGACAAAGACCACGGATTCTGAATCTGACGTAACTGCAATGCGAGATACTAATTTGTATATAAAACCTAATTTTACTCAGAGGGTTAAACATGACCGTCTCTGTCTCTGTCACCCGACAGACAACAAATGGCATACTATGCCATTTGTTGAAATAATTTTAGAGTGAGGAAAACAGATTATCGCTCAACATGAAATTAGTGGAGTACGTGATCGATAGTGGCCAAATAAGCTTCGAGATAAAGCTGGTTTTCCACTATCAAATAAAAAATTTCAAGACTGTGCATCAGAACCCAAGTAACTTCATCACACTGCAACATCATATTTACATTTTACCCATTACTTTATTCCTTTCTGCCATCGATTGCTTTATTCTACATCACAAGTGGTTGGTACGTGTTCTAATGCTAAAAGGTTTAAAACTAGATTCATTTGAGGCTTTTTTTCCTCTTTACAGCAGCATTCATTTGGCTCTGTCAGTAGAGGAATCAGCGCGTTTGCAAGTTGAGCGTTAAGTTTCCAGTATAGTCAAGCTAATGTTCATGATGTTCTTCTCGCTTTGCAGCTCGTGGGCAGACAGTCGCGGCTATGGAACACAATTGCTGAAGTCGATTTGCGGTCTAGAAATAAAATAGAAAAGAGAGTTGATGAAATGAAA